CTTTTCATTAATGCAGCATTAATATTAATCCAAAAACATCTTTATAATATAGTAAAACACTGAAAAGGACCAATTTTACTGCATAATGAGTACGTAATGAGTTTACCTTTGGTATTCCAAGCCCTTTATTGAAGCGAGCAGTACCATATATGGTAACTTCATTATGACTGATGACACTTCTATGGCATATTTTGGTGGTTGTTTTTAGGTGATATACTAATATACACTTCACTGTTACTGCTTTCTTTCACAAATAACTCAAAGTGGGCTTGATCTTGATTTGCTGATGGCTTATTTATTACATATTTTCATAGTATATTTCTTTTGCAGCAACTGTTTGCTCAGTCCTTCTATGGGAAGAGGAGGCCTGCTGTGCCACAGACTGTTTTTGTGCCAGCCCACCTAGACATCATTGACTTTGATTTTCAGCCTAAAACTGAACTTTAAAAAAAATCAAAACAGAAAAAATGTCTTCTTATATCCACCAATAACACTCCAGGGTTACAATTTTACATTTCAATGAGTGCCCTATAAAGAGTTAATAGACCATATATAAGTATTTTGCTGTGGCAAAATATTACCACTTTCGAGATTTTGAAAGAGAAGCAGAATTAAAGGACAGTTGTTGGCACATTTTGTGGTCAACAAACAACAACAAACAAACAAAGTCTAATTCATGTACACATTATACCTAGCGAGCGGTCCTTTGTCTGGTTGGTTGATCGCACCACGGGCAGGCTAGCACGAACCCGGCTGCCACGGGTAAATCCTGTGGGTGTGTCGGCCTCAGACATGGTGTCCAATGAATCCAGGGAGGCCAGGGATAGGTGGTCAACCTGGTCGCCGACGCTGGACTGCGGGCTCGGGCCGTGCTTTGGGCTTCTGCTCTGGAGGGGGAGATACATAGAAACATAACACGTTAATGGTGGGACCATGGACACATTGTGTACAGGCATGAGTTTTTATTCTTGAAATGACACAAAAAAGCTTTTTCATTTTCCAATGAGTGTCAAACATACTCTTTAAGATTTGATGCATTTGGTGGAGTTAGAAAATAACGCTGTATCTCATTCTTAGGCGGGCAAGAATAAAGCACCTTTGATGCTGACTTTGAGCTTGAACAACAACAACTAAATAAACCAAAAGACTGCAGTCATGCAAAAGTACAGATAAGTGTTAATACTGTATGTCACTGATACATGCTCACACATGTAACACTTCTCAGTACTGTCCCAAAGACACATCACAGCACAAAAAGTTATCAAGCATGAGGAGGCTTCTAATCATACTACATGAGCCTCAACTTTTAAATTTCATATGCACCCACGTGAGTCGGAGACTGATTTAATAATAATAGTAATAGTGTATGAGAGAAGTTTCAAATAGTTCAAACCCTGCGTGATGACAAACTGAAAGAGATCAAACAGAAACGTACAATGTGGGTACTGCAGAAAAAAAAATCCTTTTAACAACTGATTAAGGATCAAGTCCTATGTCATCAAAACTGGAAGATCAGTTGGCTTCTCTGTAATCTGATCTGCATGACGTGGCATCCTCAAGCCACAGCTACAATAAGACGATGTGTGACAAGACTACAGAGCCCATTGAGCTATTGTGAGGTGCTGTAAGGTGATCTGTACCACCGGGACAAGGTGGGACTAAAACTGAGGGGTCAGCGAACACTGGGCCCTTTATTAAATGCTCTTCTCCCCTGGCAGAAGCGTGGTGCTGTAGAGCTAATGCAGCTGGAGACACGAGGACAGATCCACCAGGTTATCTTGAACACACCTGCATGCACACGCTGCTGTTCACTCACACATACAGACAAATAAAGAATTTAAGCATTTTATAATAAGTGCAGTTGACATTTGTGGGAGCTTTCATGGCCAGAACTGGTTTTGCCTTGCAGCCAAGTGTGCTTGGCAGGCACAGACAGGGCAGACGCTAAGAGACATGGGGGTACAAAGGTTGGGAGCATGGTCACACAGCAGATGTTAGGGAGGATGCAAACATGCCCACACATACAGACACACACACACACCCACATTAACACAATGGCATGATGCAGATAAGATAAAAGGCTGACTAACTCTGTGGGGCAATTGGATTTTCATCAAGTACCTCTGAATGTCAAGCTCAGAGTGAAGGGAGGAGAGCATGCCCTGTAAAGACTGATGGGAAAAAAGAAGAGAGAAGAAGAAAACAAAAAGCAAATGGCTAAGAAATGCCAGTGGCAGGGTGAGATGGAAAAAGAAATGGTCATCAAACAAAACAGAGGAGCCATGGAAACCAATCAATCTCAACAGCAGACCAAAGGAAAGTAGAAAGAGGCTAAAAGAAGAACTTAGATGCAGAGACATCTTCAACAGTTTAGCAGCAGAAAGTATTTAGTTTAGAATTACTTACCAGTTTTTATGAACTGAGTACTAACATAGAAATCCTAGAAACCCCACCACTTCATGATTTCTACAGTTACTATCATCAATATTATACTAGGATCATTTCCAATCATCACCGTCCTCATCCCCATGTGATATTTGCTGAGTTAAAGTTATGTGTGAACATTTATGTGATGCACCTTCACGGCGACCTAACACAGCAGGCAAAACTGCTGAGCCATCACTCAACTCCTGTAATTCCATTAAAATACGCTTAGGCTGCAAAACACAGAGATTTAAAATGCATGAATAAAAATGTGCCTTCATACTGTTAATACATGATGATAGTCACTTTTTAAAACCAAAGGGTCATGTGGAGTTGACATGTCACCTGAAACCAGACATGTGTCGGGGAATTTAATCTGGACACTGAATGATTTATGAGTGTATTCAGTGGTGTAGGGTCCAAAAAGTCCTCCCACACTGCTGTTCTACCTTCTCATGTGCTACTGTGTCACCCTTGGGAATGTTGAATCATATTGACTTCCTCCATCACCTGTAGGTAGTAATTATGCCAAGCTATATTATAGCTTGGCATAATATTTTCCGAGATACCAAAGCAGAGGAAGAAGAACTTGCATTTAAACTTGTATAAAAGTTTACTTAACTATCATGTTTTATGAGCTTATTGGGGTTTTTTGAAAAAAGAAACAATGCATTTGGTGAAGTAAATGATAATATAGCCATCTGATAGGGCTGGGCAAAAACTGAAATCAATGTAGCATATAGGTACATTTGAAAAACAAAAACTTAACTACTTTTGTTTGTTTTTTTAAGGCTAAAATCATTACTTTGGGAAACTTAATTTATAACACGATATGATTCTTCCTTTAACTTATTTAACTTTTGTGATAAAACCCCTAAAATGTGCTACGCAAAAAAATGTAGTACATTACCACAAGTAGTGAGGAGTATAAAGTTAGATAACTGAACCAGCAGTTACACAGTGATATGTATAAAACATTAGCCACCATAAGCTATTGGTCAGAAGACTGCAGTGGCAAAACCCTTGACAGTGTAGAATTAAAGAAAAAAAGGGTGCGTTTTATTGCTTATAGATTTAATTTCAGAGGAAGATTGACATATCATCTGGATGTTATAGCAACTAAAGGAGGTAAAGCTAATAGGAAGCCATTGACAAGTGACAAATTTCAAGATTTGTCTGGGTTTGAACATTGTTGGAAACATCTGGGATAATGTAACTACACAACTCAACAATAATATATATATATATATATATAACAAAGGTCTAGTCGTTTTTAGACATCTCAATGCGGAATCTTTTAAATCTAATGCTTTAAATTACGCTAATTAAAACTGTTGCTTCAACTTTTGCAAAATTTCAGGAAAACGTCACAATAGACACAATGTGACAGAGGAGAACTGCACAGGAGAAAAAGATAGTTAAAGCAGAAGCAGTCGCATATAAAAGTAGAGGAAATTGCAAATGAGACCTTCTGCCTCCCTGTGCAAAGGGGTAATTAAGTTAAACCACTCCACACCAGTCCACATCTGACAAATGAGGTGTCCCCTCCAAAGGCCAACAGTTTAGCTCTAATGAACTCCTCTGTCTCTCTCCCTCCTTCTTTCTCATTCATGCACGCAGAGATTATAATTCTGACAGTGGCTATGTATGATATTGCTGAAATGCCCCGCATCAAAAGCCACTTCCTGTCCTGGTTAACCACTTCCCGCTTTAGGGTCCAGATGTGAAAACCTCAGGCCAACCACTGATTAGCACAGTAAAAAACCTGCTTCAACCCGCTCACACCTACAGTACATTCCACACCAGTGATTTCCCCCGCTTCAGTCAAAACCATATAGCCTGTGATTCTGCCTTTTCAGCAGTGACTCCCTCTGTACGCCACATTTGCTCTGACAGCTATGATGAATGTGAAACTGGAACGCCGACATTAGCTTATACACAGGAATATGAATGACAAGTTATAAAGTCATGAAAAGAGTCCCTTGGGAAAGAATGTTTCCAGAAAATAGATCTTGAAGGTGTCAAAAAATAAGCAAATGTATACTACAAAAATGGTGGGTTGTCTGTGCAGTGATGTAGCCAGTGTCAGTGGGTTGTGAAGACCTGTGTCAAATATTTACCATGATTTGAGTATGTTAAACATGTCTATAAATAAATCAATGGAATTTGCCTAATCTAAATGCTCATGTTGTGTAGCTTAGAAATGCAAACTGCCCTGTTGAAGCAAACCCTTTCCCCAGGCTGTCAGACATTAGCTCACAAAGGCACAACAAAGGTTTCTAATGGTCTTGAACATTGCCTGCAGCAGCTTAATATTAAATGGATGTTAGGTTTAATGTAACATAGACAAGTGATTATTTGGCAAACAATAAAATGGATAAAAGAAAGCTAGTAGTTCAAATGTGTGTTGAGTGTTGTGTGTTTGACAGAGGGATACAAAGAGAGACTGACTGCGTGCATGAGTGAGTCAGGCCATTGTTCCAGAAAATCTGACCCGAACCCAGGACATCCTGAAAACATTTATGCAACGGTGGTCTGACAAACAGTATGCTGTCATTTTAAAGAAAGTTCAGGTCTGTGTTTGTGTCTGCAATCCCCAAATACATCCAAATTTTATAGGTCAGTGCTGTTATATGTGTACTATGCACTCTCTATATATCTGCACCTCGTGAACATGCATATATAGTACAGTAAGGGTGCTTTTCATTGCTACCTGTTGCCTGTCTTGGATATTATAGAGCCATTTCAGACTGAAATGACAATGTTACATGATTTCACCGAGCAGAACAGATTATGTTATGTCATGCAGCCCCTTGTCTTAGCTCCTGACGGACAGGCTGACATGTAGAGCCGAGATGGGGCGATTAAAGTAAATCACGATTGTTAAGAATAATGGCAGCTCCCACCAGGAGCCTGCTGTGTCACTCATGGAGGTTTTAAGTATAGACATAGCCTCGAAAGCTGCCAGAACGTCATGCACCACACCTGCTGCCAGCCTACAAAGCCCTCTGATTGGTGCCTACTTTCTTATATAATCAACATAGTTTTGGTTATAATAGCTTTCTAATAACATAGCCTGGCGTTCAACCTAAAAATGAGGGCATACTCATGACATTTTTGAAATCATGTCGATCTTGTTCTCCTTACGACACACTGCAAGTTTCACAAGTCAGGCCAAGAAGCCAAAGACAGCTTTTATGTACGTGCATTTATCTACAGCAACCTACCAGGATCCGACTACAATAGCCCGCGTTCACCCATCATCTCTAATGCACACAAACTGAGTGAACACACACACAGACAACTAGCTTAAGAAGTTTCTTTCACTCATTCTATATTGTCTTTCCAGATGTTGAAGAATGTAAACAAGAGAGTGGAGGAGGAAGCTTGTGTGGCTTAAACACAAACTTCAGTGTTGTGAGCACAGCTTTCCACTTAAGATGCTAATTTGGCCCTTGCTCTCGGGAGCGGAAATAGAGCTAACTGTAATTACCTGGCCTGATCTGTATGGCAAACACATAAACAGAGGATGGTGGCTCTGCAGACTGTTAACCCCTTACTTAACTTGTCTCACTCTGACACGTTATTCTACTTACGGCTAGCTGATGTGGTAAAATGCTTTTAGTATTTGTGTCCTTGAGCAAAACACTGAATCAGTACTTTTTCCCTTTTAGTCTAAAAGATTGAAGTATGTCACAGAAATAAAAGTTCAAAAAGCAGGCACAAACCTACAAGAGTTCATTAAAAACACCTGTTTGAGTCTAAAACTCAGTGCCACTGCAGTCCTGCTCAACTTTGAAGCCTAAAGCCCCTGTCAATCAACCAGTCAGCGCTCAGTCCGTATGCTGTCTGTGGACAGACCATCATCCTTTGTCTCCCCTAGCCTTAATGACATTATACCAAAATCCCCTAGTCATCCATTCCCATTCATCGCTACCACATCCCTCTCTCCCTCCCTCCTATGATGCATTCCTCCTCTAATCCCTACATCCAAATCCCCAGATGACCTTTCAGAGATGGGCTTGCTTGTTAATTGGTGTGTTAAAAGGAGATGACTTTATAGTATACACAGTCAAAGCTGACGTTGAAGGTGAAGCTGTGGTAGTTCAAGACCCGCTAACTACAAGTTTATAATCAACAGACCATGCCAGAAATTTTCTGGGCAAAAAACAATAACCAGAACAGTTACCATCTCATTGGCAAGTAAAATATAATCAAGCAGATCTGTCAAATTGCAAATGAAGTGCATAATCACAGCAGACACAATACTGTGCCTGTTGACCCAGTGCGGAGAGGAGGTAAGATGACTATCTCTTCTGCCACTTGTGACATTTACAACAACTGAGCTACACCGTCCAATTGATTTCATCCACTCACGCATACATGAGTTAGTCATGGTTATCACCAGGGACATCATCCCCTCCACTGAATGAGCGAGGTTACAAAAGTCAACTCTGCCATCAGATACATCAGCCAATGGGAGTTTGTGGAGTAGCTATCAAGCTAGGTTTAAAAGCCCATTTAATAGGGTGTATGAATATATAAGTCATGTTCAATCAAATTTTTAAAAAATGAAGCAACAACAAAACCATGTTGTAAATTATCTTATAAAGCATTAATACAGTATTTACCATATCAAACCAACAGCGATCTCCTTCCAGCAGTGACTTCCATGTGCGACTGGAAACTCCCTGGCCTAAGGGAAACACGGTCTCTTCCTCCACTGTTATTTCAGCCCTTGTAGCACTTGCTCTGCACAACTGCCCTGTCCTGCTCCCTTCTCTTTCTGCTCTACCTCACAGCGGATGCCCCTTTATCCAATGCACACGCCGCCCCACATCCCAAACTATCCAACAGCACTATACAAACACACACAATCCACACCCGGCGGACAGCAGGGGAAAGTCATTGTTTGTGCGTCTGCATTTTGCATCCGTGCACCATTGTGTGAGGCGGAGATTGTGTTAGAGGGCAAGGGATGTCTGTGTGAATCATGATGTTCGAATATATTTTTTTTGCAGGCTATTCCAGCAGCTTATGAGTAGAAAATCTGATGCCTGAAACAGCTATCAAACTCCATAAAGTTTCCATTCAGCGCCAAAAAAATGCATTTTATCTTAAAACGGCAGCTTCAACACTAATCCCCATGTCCAATCTCAGCTTCCATCTCACTGCCCTGAGGCTGTGGCTGAAGACAGAGAGATGACACTTGTGTCCTGAGGAGATAAAACCCAGCTCTACCCTCAGGGTAGAGCCTATGCAAGATTTACTCAGAAAGCCTTTGCCCTATAGGACACACCCAGTGCATTGATACACACTCACAGATCCAAATACCAATGCATACATGGTTGGTTGCCATTCGGAAATATTCCTAGTTTGGATTCTGAGCAAACTTTAACATGATTAATGTTGGGGCCATTACAGGAAGAGCAGTTTGTGTTGTCAAGTAGATGCATTTTTAGAGGCATAACATACAAAATAACAGGTCCAGAACTGGCTGATCATTTACTAGTCGTGCATGCAAAGATTTCCACACACCTACGAGTGTGCAAACAATAGACAAGACTCTCACCCCTTCTCACTCACTGTCTCTTTTACCAAACAAATACATGCAAAATATTTGCTGACGGGGCTACAGAGTCAAGATCTGTCCAGACTTGTTTTTAATATCCCTTCATCAAGAGCAAGGGACATTTCACAGCTCTGAACACTTTCAGCATCCCAGAATAACGCAATAAATGTTTGATTAACTCTCACAAAAACAGAGGCTCTCTCTATAGTGAAACCCAAAGAGAGCACCCACCCATATATACACGGTGGACAAAACCAAGCTCATATTTCGGAAGGCCCATTTATTTGACACGTCCTCACACGAACCTGGTCTGTCTCCAGAGAGCGTCTCTCCTGAGGTAAAATAAAGGACCTTCCAGGTCTAATTCGAGCCTCTCTGGGTGTATATATGAGAATGTGTGTGTGGCTCAGAGCCTGTGGTCACCAACACAAAGAGGCCTCTCTTCTCTCAAGAGAAATCGGAGTACTGCATCTACTACATCATGTTGCACACACATAAACTCACATATAACCAATGCGATCAAAGGGAATTCATTCTAGTACCACCAAAGCTAAACAAAATGTTTGCTACTTTATTCTATAATAATGAATTGAATGTCTAGGCTGGTTTGAAATCGCTGTATTTTGTCAAGTGTCAAGTCTCCTTTTCGTCCCATGAAACCAGCCCTGATAATGGCTTTGCTATTCATGCCTAATTAACAAGTCACCGAGGACCACATACACTCCTCCACTGAGCCTAAGATTTATTATCCCCACTCTCCCAGAGGAGAGTTTCTCTGTGCATCTGTGTAGAAAAAGAGTCAGATAATCAGTAAAAAATTCAAGTTTTAATTAAGTCTGATAGAACTGCATCCAAAAACAAAAACATGATACACTACACATCACTGTCATGTAAACACTGTCAGCTGTTAATTCTATATTATTCTCTGTGCTTATCGTCATACTTATTTTTTATTACTGTCATTATTTTCCATTTCTGACCCAAGTGACCTGTTTTTGACCTCCAATAGACATAACAAGGAATACTGCATACACACATAGACACACAAACATGCAGTCCCTGAGCTCCTGGCTTTAGATGACTCAGTTAACCATATGTGATAAGTCATGAAACTCCAACTGTCTCTGTCAATAAACAACAGCAACCATTGGTGCTTAAATGTTACCACCAAGTGTAACACCTTAAACAAAACATAACAACAGCTGAGTTGCATGGACGTAACATACTACTTGTATATGTAAAACATGAGCCATGGTTGAGGTAGAGTATAGTGTCAACCAGAGGAGGAGGTGCTATGATTAACTGCAGCACATGCTCCACTTCTGTCAAATATACTAATTTATTACTGATTCCATTAGCGGCTGATGCTTAAAATGTATACTTTCCCACTGTATACTTATATTCCAGGTGTTCCCAAACATCTGTCATCTTGTTTAGTAAAAGAAAAACCCATGTTCTGGTTCTATCTGTTAAAAATGTACTTTAAACATTCAGGAAAGCAGTTCTTCTGACTCAGAGCCAAGTTGCTGCCATGCTTTTCTCTATCCCCACACCCCACACTCCAGCCCTTCATCTCCACTGAGAAGGGCCAACTGGAAATAAAGCACAGGAGATCAAAATAAGGTTTGAGCCAGATGCTTGGAGTTCGTCCTGTCAGTGGTGAAATCATCCTGGTGTGCCTCTGTCTCTGCTTTGCCTTTTGAAGTTCATACCTTTGGCCCAAGGTGGAGTCCAGATGTCGGGCTACATGCAAAGACATGCTAAGGTACAGATAGAGAAAACAAGGAGAAAACACCCCTCTTGCTTGCTCCCCATTTAGGCGATCTATCAAAATTAAAGATTTTTAAACTAGCATCTGGCTAATATGACTCCTGACTGAAGACATAGCACGTTAAACATCAACTACACCAATACACAGCTGAGATTTGAAGCATTAACACAACAGAATGTGCATTTCATCATTCTGACTGGTGGCATATTTTGTCCATTAACTTAGCATCAAGTCAGTTAGTTCTTCAATCTAGTCTAATGACTTGCATCATCTCAATGACAAAAACATATCACCAGTACCAACAAAGGATGGATGCCAAGATGCTTCCTTCAAGTACAAGCAAACCTAAATTACCAACCAAACAGGTAAATACATCTGGTAAAGAAGAGACGTTTGAGGGAGGAGAGGCTATTCAGTAGGGGACAATGAAACCAATCTTGTTATTAAAACCTGAACTGTGTTTTATCCACCAATGCTCAGTTAATCCATTAATGCTTTAATGGGACATTATCATGTATTAAAATTGTCCTTTGTTGAGAAATATCATTACCTGTTTGCCTTCTCTGTATTGTTACAGTTTAGGTGGTTAGTATTTTTTGCAAAACAATGACCAAACTGATCAAATAAGTCCAGGAATTGTCCTCAGAAGAAGCTCCTCAGGCTGCAACTGCTGTATTGACAAACGGTCTTAATTGAACCCAGAGGAATGTAAGGGCATAAGGTTAAAGAGGTCCCAGACATTTCACCTCCATTCTCTGCAAATCTGTCAAGAAAATCTGAACTTTTTAGGATCCTCATAACGAGTATCTGCCCATTAAACCGGAGGTGCAACAGTATAACTCAAGACAACTCCAACTCCGACTTCTGTTGTTAACTTAAGCCTGAGCTAATACAGCTCTGTTATGATGCGGCATAGTGCACTGAAAAGAGCTCAGACCTGATTAGCTGTTCTCATTATCACACTGGCATTGCGTTTGAGACAGTGTGTAAAATTCTGTCTGGCTTGACTCATTATCAGCAGTGATCAGAGGCTGGTCCATCAGGGCCTTATGTCAGAGCGGCTTAACCCCCCCACGACACTCAGGATTAGACACAGCGTTGGCGCCACTCCACGGACCACTTGTCCTCTCAGTTGGGTTTGCTGCACCCTTAAAATCCTAACCCCCACCAAGTAACCCCTGTTAATTGGCAGGTCAACGCACGGCCGTCATTAACCTTGTGGTTCTTGTTTGTGTTACTTGAGGTAGCTCTCAAAGTGTCACTTCATGCAGAGGTGGCAGATGCTGTTAAAAACAGTCCAGCTTCTGCTCCTGATGGTCAATGGAGGAGGTGCGATGATTAAAAACAGATGCAGACCTGCTGCACACAGTGTCTGATTGTGTGATTTCAGACACGCGGTGCAATTAAAGCTATGACAAAGAGGTTTTTGTGAAAATATCACATAAATGTTTCAGTATGTCAATGTGAATGTGTGTTTACCAGATCATCTCTGGTAACTATTGACACTGTAATCAGAGAGGGAATACTGTACCAGAAGTGGAAGACAATGAACGATCCCCTTTCTTTGTGCAGTTTAGTTAAAAACAGGAACAATGCTCCCTCAAAACTCCCTCCCTATTCTTTTCTTCTCTGATTATGGTCAGATCTCTTGTGGGGAGTTGATGCATGCTTGGAGCCAGTGTTATCTTGCCGACCTTGGTTCTGAGGAGCAAGAGTGTAGCAGGGCCAGGAGCCCACAGAGAGAAGTATGTGGGGGGGTACTGGCGAAACGTTGCAACGCCACAAAAAGACTCTGAGGGAGAGTTTAAAGTACATTTACTGTCTATAGTAGCAGTATTTATGTGGCCTTGTTCCACATGAATTGGCGGGACGGTGCAGATACTGTGTACCCTGCCATCTTATTGATGTCGCTGTTGTTACTAAATGCAGGATTTTTCCATGCTTCATCCATAGCACTTGCTGCAAAACTAGTAGTTCTGAAAAGGGATCTCTTCCTGCATGATCCTTTTCCAAGGCTTCTTCCAATTTTTTGTTCCCTTTATATGTTTTTTTCTTGCCCTGTTCTCGGGGGATGCAATTATCAAGACAGTCATGACATGTCTATTTTGAAAAGCAACTAATAAAGTCTATTTAAGGAAGGATTACAATGAAATAAGTTTTTTTTAAAGTATTATTATCATCATATATCCCCTATAGCTTTTTGATTTTGCTATAAAGTTCCAACTTGGCACAAGAAAACATGTTGGTTTGACTTTGATGGATAAAGCAATAAAGGTCACCAGCGCACCATCGAGTAACATTTTGAGATTTTTGATAACATCAGCTATAAACAGTCTTTTGCCTTTGCTTGTTGGAAAACTTTGTTATTACTGAGCACAACACACTCACTCTGAGCAAACACATCACACAGATAGAATCGAATCGATGGAAATTAATTGAGTTACATACTGTAGATAGGGGTGGAAATCATAACTTAACACAATACATTAATGCCAGGATATGTTGCCAACAATAACGATGTATTACAAGGCAGTTACCTACTATAGATCATGTGTAAATGAAAAGAAAGGTAATGATGTGCTTTTGATTTCGAGACAAACAGCAACATGTTCCAATGTGTGTGAGATCTCTTCGATGACAAACGACCAAAAACTGGTAAAAAATTAATTTTGTTGAAAGAGTGCATCTGGCTAGGTACAGAACAAAAGTGATATTGGTGCCAACTTAACAATAATGTAAGAGATCTTTCTAATATATTTCAAAATTGTCCCATCCTGCAGATTTGGAACATCTCTTGACTGATCCTGAGTAAAAAGTCAAGTTTTTCTCTATATCCTTTCTGCTTTTCTCATTGGCACCAAGAGGTGTTGAATACTAAAAATACCCGACATCATCTCTTTCCAACATAGCTCAACTTACCCACTACAGCACATACTACACCGTGAGCACCTGTCAAACATTGCACTGGAAAACAGTTTACCCATCTTGACACTCACACTGTTACCATAATCTGTGCTCTCATCAGCCGATGGATTATCACAGCTTGGGGGTGACAGACCTGTCTCTCTGACTGTCTGGTGCCCACAGCTGCACACAGCTGTCCTAACATGGCTGCTCCACTCTACAGAGAAACGGTTGGCCTAGCAAGTCACAGCTCATCACACACAGACACTGACACACAGGCGGAAGGACGGAGGGGAATACGGTGCGTGCATTTGTGTCTGTGATCGGTCGAGCGTTTCGGTTTGTGCTCGTCAAGGCCCCTGGGCAGAGAGAGAGAGAGAGGGGTGAGAGGATGGGTGGCGGTCAGGCCAGTGGGATATTATCTCATCTCCCTTGGGTGGTATCCAGGTCCTTCTAGGCCTGATGAGGAGAGGAGGAAATTAAACCACTCGCTTTTGTTGCGGGTTTAAGGATCACAGAAGGAGACGAAGGAAGAATTGAAGAGTACCTTATATAAGAATAAGTCAGTCAGTGTGTGTCTGTGTGTGTGTGTGTGTGTGTGTGTGTGTGCTGGGTGGAGAGGGGTCATCCACTTTACAGACTAAAGCAATATCATCTTCCCAACCTCCGCTTGACCTTGATAAAACTCCAGCTTTGTAACTGAAACCTCCAGAGACAATTCTTTCTCACGTCTGAAGCATGCACTGTTGCCACTGATGTTGTCTTTCCTGTATAGTCGGCACTTTCACGTCTTTGTGAGAACGGCGTCCAAGTTTTCCCACACTATCTATCACACAGCCACTCCACTTTTTTTCTTGCCGTTTTTTCCCTCAAAGCAGAATAATTATACCTCCCTACGACACCAGATGACAAACGCTTCAATAAACTTGTCATTTTGTTTTGTTTTGTTTTAATTTTCTGCTGTTTATATTAGCGGGGAATAATTGCATTCCTCTTGACATCCTGAATTAGATTATGACAAATACGGTCTTCAATCATCTTTTTTCATCTATCAACGCTGCATTTATTTCCCAGAAATTCATGCACAAGCCAGTCTGTTTAGTGACAGCATCTTGTATCTTCTTTCTTGACATGATATATTCAATCACCATCAAATCTCACTCCCAACATCTGAATAACATATGAATTCTTATTCCAAAATCAATTTATAAGTGTCATGCTGACAATCATCACCAGCAGATAATTTTATCTTTCTCATCTTTTCTCCCTGTTTCAGCAGCAAACATCAAAGTGTTTAATAATTACACAAATTGGGGAAAAAACACTTTATATATTTTACAGTAACTCTACCAAAAGGAAAATAGTCCGATAATCCCCCTGCTAGTACGGACAGTAAGTTCCAAACTCAATTCTCTATGACCCTGGAATGACCCAAAACATAATTTTCTTTACAAGCTCACACACAAGCAAATAAAAATAGCCTCCCTCTAGTTGCTTTTTAGAACCCTGCAACAGTATGAGCACAACCAGGAGTTGGCCTTGATACTGAACAAATCCACCAATCATGGATACATCAAAGGCCACATAACTACATCTAATCCCAGAAACAAGCAAACCTCCAAATGCCATTGCAATAAGTCAATAAAATAACTCCACTGCATGCCAGGAGTGAGACAGTGACAAAGCATGCAACATTAAAACCGGTTCCACTTGACAGATACAAATTGTAAAAGTCATCCTGGATCTGTAAAAAAAAAAAAAAAAACCTCAATGGACACCAAAACATATCTAAAGAAATGTAGAATTACTCAGACATCTGTTGAAAAAAAACTTTGATATATGATTCCATTGCAAAAACGTGCAGTAGCAGCACTGCCAGCAACTAACAGCATAACCATCAGTTATTACCAGCTATCTCCATAATCATAACCGCCATCAACATCGCGCAAGATATATGTTGTTATGATAGAACCCTTAACTTCCCCTCACAATAGATAATTTGCTTCGCAATTATCGCTACATAGTAATTGCCATCTCGTTAAGATTACAGGGAGCTGCAGGTGACTGTACCCTGTGGATGATTTACTGCCCACAACCTCAAGGCGTCCGTCTAACTAAACACCAGTGAAGTAATCAGTCGCGCTAAAAGACTTTTTTTTGGTCGATTTTTTTCTTTGGCCAAGTTTTGCAATCGCCTCTCAAACTTAGCAGCACCTGACAGCCTGCTGGTGCGCACTCCGTCTGCTGCAGCCCAAACACTCCTGCGCGCACTACACTTTGCGTAAAAAGCACAATAACCCATGCATTAGTGTAGTAGTACTCCAAAAAATGGCACTTAATGCTGTTATGAAAGTCTGGGAAATCCACCGACTCCAAATGTTCCGATAATATCCTACCTTTATTCCCTCTGCCCGGAATGATGGCGCCGATGTGACAAGTTTATTCCGTCTGAAGAAAGTTTGATTTCCTTTTTTTCTTTCTCTTTTTATTATTCTCCTGCTGATTTCACGTACAGAGAGCCATGCCTCCAGACAATCTTCAGACCCATTGCCTGTTCCTGCATAGCAGCTCACACACAGCTCTCACACAGCAAGGCAGCCAGCTCGCTCCAGCAGGCACCTACACGTAAACTGAGCCCCTCCAGCGGTGACATCATGAGTCGCTATGGCAACTCTGACTCCACCCCAGTCCGGAGCTGAACTTACCTGTCTGACTGCCTGAATTTCACAACAAACTCCCTCTTCTTTCTCCCTGCGCACTGGATAACAACAGCAGATTTTCATAGATATTTAATCTGTTGATGGATAAAATAATGCACATAAGCACGCGTGTACCCCCGAAATACACACACACACACCCACACACACACACACACACGCACACAGACACACACACCAACATCCGAGTCTACTGATATTACCAATGCAAATGACCTATTCAGAGTTCACGATCAGTGCAGGGAATTGACACAGCACCTCATGAAAAGGGTTTACTTTGCATGTGTGCAGGGTGTGTGGGCTGGTTTGAAAACAGCACACAAAATCCCTCTTGCACAATGCCTCGTACCATTGCCTGGAGCTCCCCTGTGGCTCGGTGCCAGTCTCACCATTACCTCAATTGTTTTGGCTACAAAGCCTGCTTGCCCCTCCCTTTTGTCTCCTCTGACCCGGAGCAAACAAATAGACAATGACCAGGTGAGCCAAATGTCCAACTATAGTGACTCCCTCTGTGTCGCCCTCCCCCACATCGACCTACTTGACTTCAAAAAGCTGAGGGCACAAGGATACTCAGTAAAAGCTCCAAAACAACACTGAGACATGTATACTTTATACATCATACTGTACACAAACCAGTCTTGAAGCTAAAAGCAAGTCCAATTATGGTGATCAAAACAGACTTCAGAGTGTATGGACAATTGAAACTGTTTGTGGTTCACACGTTTTCTACTCCTTCACAAAAACACTGCCTTGCTGTTTTACAGCAGCTGTGGGAGGGAAACAAGACAGGCAGATTTATAGGATAGACTTCACATTTAACCTGCGGCAAAAAGAGAGGAGGAAATAGTTTTGCAGTTGCACTATCGCATCAGTCTGCAAAGATAAATAAAAATACCTGTAATTCCAAGAGTGGACAAAAGCACTTAGAAGTTTACATGTGATTCTGTTGGTAAATAAACATAATTACTTATCTGTGAATCAGTCATAACTCTTTTATCTTTGTTGCCAAAGAAGTTGTTAAAGAATAAGTCTGACGAGAGTTGGATGAGAAGAAGATTGATTGATTGGCTACACTGCTATATCTGAATAGTATATACAGTAGCTGGAGCCAACAGCCAGTTAGCTTAGCAAAAGACTGGAAGACTGGAAACAGCTAGGTGGGGTCTGTCAGTCAAGGAAATAAAATCCACATCCAACAGACGAAATATAACATCTTAATTAGTAACATGTTATATCTCGCCCGTCTTATCCAGAGAAAAAGTGTGTGAACATTACTGGGGGGTTATGTGCCCAATTCCAGGTATTTCCCAAAATGTAGTATGATTGCTTAGAAAATAGGCTATTTGTATTTTTAATGACTGTGTAGGATAAATTAAGATTTAACTGAACTGAATATAGTATATATATATATATATATATATATATATACTATATAGTAAATAATAAATATAGCTGCATCAGGAGGTCTTAAATTGACATTAAACATATATTTTTTTGGCCACTCTTGGCAGAGGAATAAACTAAAAACACAACCTCATTTTGTCACCATATGAAGCTGACAAGGCGCTCCATTAGTATTCTGATTAGTGTTTCTGGTCTGTACATTCACTTCCTCTTTCAATCAATTTTTAATAAACTGATTAGTGCAGCTTTAAATTTAATTTACTGTAATCTCGTAAATGAAATAAACAAGAAAATGTATTCATAATTCAGATCATCATGTGAGTCCAAACAAACAACAACATTGCATTCCAGGCCCAGGCCTCTGTCAACCCACTGACCTGCTCTCGCAGCCTTTCCTGGTGGCCCATGATCGCTGAGGCATGATGGGGGTATTTCTGCTTCAGATGTTCGAGGAAGGCCTCCCTCTTCTTGTCCATGTCTGATGGCTGCATAGCCAGGATCTCTCGGGAGCCGCGGGCTCCCCCTAATGTGTGCCTTCGAGGGACAGTGCGGCTGCCTTTGGCATCCCCTCTTGAAGGGGCTGTCCCATTTGGGGAGGCTTGTCTGCGGCTTACGTGCTCGGCGTCCTCCAGGGAGGTTACCTTCAGGTTGCTTTTGATTTGTTCTGTGGGGACAGAGGGGACACAAAGGCAAGGGGTCAAAAAACATGTACAAGCTGTTTTGACATCAACAACAAGTGCGTGCTCGTATGTTATTCTTCCACAGGTCATGAAGAGGGCATGTCAGGGCAAATCAAACCATCTGAGACAGAAAACTTTGCCAAAATGGGAGACATTAAGACTGTAGGCTCTCCTCTTTTACTATAACATACGACATGTAGGAAAAGAAAAGAGAAAACTGACTTCAAAAGCAAAAGGATGTTAATATTTTCTCAATAAATATTGCCTGAGCAGTTGGCCCAGTTCATTACATATTCATGCTGTTTTACATTTCAGCAATAAATCCACAATTTAATGTGACAGACGCAATATTGGTGATGAAAATACTGAATTCAAACAGCTGTGCAGGCTTATTTCCTTTAAAAAAAGCCAAGGATATCCAATAATGTAAGGAGACACAAATGGAGAAATCTGGATACGATATCCAGAGCATCTGTTTATACATGCAGAGCTTTGCAAAATTAGGAGATTGAGCTGAAACTGTTAGATGCAATAAATGTAATCGAAGGGTGAAATTTGAATTCAAAAATATCAGGAGGAAATGTATTTTTCTATTTTTGCTAACTGTTTCACTTGCTCACCGCATTACATTCACAGTAACATGACATAAGCATCTTTCTGATAGAAAGTACAGTTTTGAAGAAACGTACATACTTATTCTGCAACTGGCCCATTTTCCCCCTTTAACAAATGTGGAAATACTTTCTACAACAAAAAAGTGACATAAAAGATGAATATTTGACTTTAGGGCTGAATGGAGA